AAACATGTTTGCAGTTTTCACTGATCTGCGATTGTTTCCGAGTGCAACTGGCTTTTCCTCCTCTTAGCAGAATGTTTTTCTTTCTAGCCAGCTCCTCCTACAATGAGGAATCTGTGCATTGCAACTGAACAGCTTGCATGTGATATAGTAATCAAGTAAAGTAAAGAACTGGGGATCCTAAAATAGTAGGGAAATAGTTTTTCTCTGATAATCTTTTATTGTTGCATTAAAATAATAATAATAATTATTTAATACAATTATTATTATTAATTATAATACTATATTATATTATTATCAATATTATTATTATCTTATCAATGTGTGTTAGTGTACTTAAACATTGTTTCTGGGTATACATTGTAATTATATTTGTATAATGGTGCAGCCCACTGTGAAAGGGCTAAGAAAAACCTGGAATCGACAATCTTGCCTCATATGACAACATATATAAAAGGTAAGATTTTTTTTTTTAAAGGTTATTTTTCAGTATGCTGTGTGAATAGGAACACATAATGTACATATAGAGGGTTTTTCTCAAATTTGACTGCAAAAGTGTAAATACCATTTAAATATCTTCTGAAAACACTTCAAGAAGAGTCAATCTTCTGTCTCTCAAGCTGCACTCATTGATTTCTACTATCGACCCCAACATCACTACTGTGTTTAGTGGTGACATGGTGGCCGACACCCTTCTGTTGCAGAAGAAACTTCACTTGGAGATTCGCCATTTTTTCTAGAAAACATTGGAGACAAGGCAGAGGACCTACATACAGTATATTTATTGAAAAGTCAGAACCAATTATAGGCCAAGTTGCTTGAAGTTAAAGGAATTATATATATGTTTTGCTGTTTAGAATTTAAACTATTTCTACATTCCCGATAGTGAGGGAGGTGCCATCCAGGATAAGGGGAAGACCTGCACAACATTTGTATATTCTTTTTTGACATTATTGATGATTTTACTGCCATATATAAAGAAGATCTTGGTATTTATCCATTAGGAATTCATAAACAGAATGATTATCCTTCTTTAACAATAAATTGTGGCCAGTAGTTAGTAAGTAGGTGAATATTCTGTGTACCCAAGTGCAGTGGCGTCACAAGGACGGTGTGCAGCCCGCACTACAGTGACACCATTGGAGGGGTGACACCAAAATGAATGACAGTCGTTTAGTTGTCACCCCCTCTGAAAAGTCGGGCACTCGGTCATGGAGCAAGAGCCTGACAGCTGCAGGAGAGAGAGGAGGGTATCCGGCGGCATACCTTATCCCGCCGAGTGAATGTCCCCTCCTCTCTCTGCCGGCGTCTATCACCAAGATGGCCACCGGTAAGTATCAAAAAGATGACCGCGCATGCTCGACGACGTCACGGTGGGGTGTCACCCGTATCTGCTCTGGGTGACATCCGGCCTCGGGACGTCCCAGCCCAAGTGTAGTGGAATTTTGATGTTAACGCATACACTTATTGTTGATATTAATTAGCGTATACATTATTATTATTTAGTCATTAAAGCCCTGGACGTTTCAGAGCACTATACAGACATATACTGTATATTCAACAGATGAACTTTAGATGAGCCCTAAGAGCATACAAGACACACTCAGCATGTGAGCACGTGTCAGTTCATGCGTTTGGGCTGAGATAGAGTTCATATGGATCATGTTTATTGATCTATATGGATCAGAATTCATATGGATCTAGTACACACGCTGTCTGCAAGAATGACAGTTTTATAGTTAGTTACAGTGATTTAGACCTTGGGTACCAATCATTTTGAAGCCTATTTGGTTCCTATCAAAGGGGCCTGCGAGCCTCTGTTCGTTTGCATCTGCAGTTGTTCTAATTAAACCTACTAAATAAACCTTCTGCCTAGTCCAATATTTTGCTATTCTACTTCACAGGTGTGTAACCTGTGTGCTTTTACATAATCAGACAACTAACTGCTAAGGCTACAGCATACTACTGACTGTTGTTGAAGAGGAACATGACCTCATATTGGGGTTGACTATGCTTTTAACCCCCTCTTAACTTTTTTCAATATCATATTTATCTGTCCAGCGAATCCAGCGCTGTCTTGCTGTGAATTACAAATCTCCTTCTGCATGCCAGGTCTAACTTTGCCATCTGTCTCTGTGATGATGACGTGATGCTGTGTCTGCCATCTTTCATATGCTCTCTGAGAGCTAATACCTCCTGGGATATCTTGCATGGATATCCCAGCAGGCATCTGGAGCGAGGCACATACCATTCTTGCCTAGGTAAGAAAGGAGAGAGCGAGAGCTGGCTGGATCAAAAAAAGTTTAGAAAAAACAGTAAAAGAAAACCTAATCAATAAATATGTTGATGTAATTTCAAACGTCTTTATGAATATTTCTAAATTTGCGGTTTTCATCAAAACAATGCTTGTGATCCTGCCATGAAGGTTCTTGTTTAGGCATTTTCCATTATAGGGTGACAAAACGTTGTCACTGTCTTGCAACTGTGCTCCTCGATTGTCTACCAATGGAGACTCTAAGCAACCGTTTACCTCACATTACTACACATTATGCAAGCATGTTGTCACCATGTAGTCATTACTGGACTGCGTGCATGTAGACAGGGCGGCAAAGATGCTGCAGGAGATTAGCGGAAATAAAATGCAACAAAGGATTGTGCAATCAAAATTACATTTTAAAAAATAGCAATGGTTACTGATATGTCATTTAATTAGGATTTACATCTACTTTAAACCTAAATGAATAGAACTCTGCAGACTCAGAAGAAGAGTCCCTGTTAGCTGTCATGCAGATAACACTTCCCGTCACATAAAAGGAAATTTAGTTCACTGAGATCTGGCATCAACCAGGAGGCACTGAAAGTAGAAGGAACAGCAATATTTTATTGCTGTGCTAATACTATAGGTAAAGGGAACTGTAAATTATGACCACATTTTAGTCTCTGATATATTAAAGACTTTGGCTGTAGGCGTGTGATAAGCCAGAGGTAGGCTTCAATGTTACAGGAAGTTGATCTATTACCCAGGAAGATTAAGCTGCATGGACTACCATAGGGAAATCTATTCACAGGATGCCAGTCTGGCTTAAAGGTCATTTATCTGTGAAGGCTCTGTTTCTTTGGTGTCTCTTGTGCCCTTAGGGCTGTCCCTTGCCTTAACCCTCTCTCCCTGAGATTATGGTGGCAGAATAAACTCTAAATGGGATTCTAAAGTGGCTGGGGCCCTTCTGTTCACACCCCACTCAAAGTCAGGAACTCAACCCTGAGGTGAAATGTTAGCACATGTGACCTATAGGAGTCCCTAAAAGCTTATAGGGAGTAAGGGGTGTTTTTGTTGTCCAAGGTGGGTCCTGGCAAGATTGAACCATATTACCCTATCATGCAATGTGGTGAAGTGTTATTGTTTGCTTCAGCTTGCTGCTGGCCAACCACTAGGAGGTTTATTGCCAGTTGAGTAGGCTGGGAAATGTTAAAAATATGTGGTAGAACCTGCTAGAAACTCTCTTCCACCCCCTGGGTGTATGCCGGATGAATCTTCCTCCTAGGCCTGCTGCCTAGGGAGGGCAAATATCGTCTATTGGACTAAGACCTGAGTTGCCACAGCTTTTCTGGAAGGTGGAAGGGTTTCTCTGGGAGAAGTGAAGCCTAAACCTGGGAAGAGTCACCAAAGAGGGACTTTGGCTGGAGTTGCCTGACAAGCCAGATCTGGGCTTGACCCTTAAAGGAAGTTGATGTCTTACTCAGGAAGATGAAGCCCCATGGTCTACCACAGCCAATCTATTCACAGGTTGCTGGTCTGGCTTGAAGGTAATTTACCTGTAAAGGCTGCTAGTATGTCATTTCCTTTAGGGTGTTTGGTGCCCTAACCCCCTCTCCCTGAGTTTATGGTGGCAGAATAAACTCTACATTTCATTCTAAAGTGACTTTTGCCCATCTGATCACAACAACACTAAAAGTCAAGAACACTATTCTGAGGTGGAATATTAGCTCACCTGACCTCTGGGAGTCACTGACATTTAACAAAGATATCAGTTTACTCTGGCAAAGTGATTTGGTGATTTACTATTTGCCGTACATTCACTGCTTACATTGCTAAAAGGATGTATCTATAAGATGCACCTACTGTATATAGCATATTTGAGATGTGGGTTGGCAGACATCCCAACTTTCCTGGACATTTCCGGGAGTCTCCTGTTATTAGGTAGTGGCTCCCGGCCGCCCGGGAGAGAAACATTTTTCTCCCAGAAAGGTCTACTCTGCTTGATCTAGCAGAGTAAACCTTTCCCTGCAATCTGCCGTCAGTCAGTCAAAAAAAAACAACAACAAAAAAACAGCATAGGAATGCATAGCTAGATTGCTATTGGCTATTTCACTTTGCAATAGCCAGTAGCAGACTAGCTATTGCACCTGCCCACTGCTGCTGTCAATCAACAGAGGTGGACCTGAAGTTCTCCATCAGTTCCTCTTCTAGTGATTGACAGCAGCAGAGGGCGGGTGCAATAGCCAGCTTGCTATTGGATATTGCAAATTGAAATAGCCAATAGCAATATAGCTATTCATTCGTATGTTGTGGGTTTTTTTCTGACGGCAGCAGCTGTCAGAATACTAAACCAGCAGAGAGCAAAGAAGCTATTGCTTCCCGTTCTATCTGCCATAATTTCAGGGGGATGCTCTC